GGAGCAGGGGCAAGGGCCTGGGGGTTGGGGGAGCAGGGGCAAGGGCCTGGGGTCCGAGGACTCCAGTGGGAATCTGATTCAGTAGTTATTTAAATGGCAAGTGACAGACACATGTGGTGTGGCTCATCTGCATAAAATGCCAAGAAGAGGCAGATCCTTAGCGGCATGACGGGAGCAATGGCTGCCAGGATTGGGCAGAAGCTGGCGACACAGGGTGGCCGTTGCTCTTTGAGGCAGTGGGGACATTCTAGAACAGGATTGTGTTGATGGGGATTGTGCTGGTAGTTGCAGACTCTGTAAATTTCCTTAAAATCATGAAATTGTGTGCTGAAAATGGGCAGGTTTTAATAATGTGACAGTTATTCTCAGTAAAGTTGTTTGTTAAAAGAACTTTATGGGGCTGGGTGAGGTGCTGCACACCTATAATCCTAGCAGCTCAGGAGGCTGAGGCAGGAGGATCACAAGTTTAAGGCCAGCCTCAGCAACTTAGCAAGGCTATAAGCAACTTAGTGAGACCCTGTCTCAAAAATAAAAAGGGTTGGGGATGTGGCTTGGTGGTTAAACACCCCTCGGTTTAATCCTCAATACAAAAAAAAAAAAAAAGTTAAGGGAAAGAAGATACAAGACTGAGAAGAGCAGAAACCCTGTGGGGCTGTACACTTGAAGCCGCCCTTGGGGGCTGCGGGGTGGGAGTGGTGGAGCCTCTACCTTAGGATAGTGGCCCTGGCCTCCCCACTTAGCAGCTAGACAGCCTCTGCAGACACCTCCGCCTGGCCTCGGCCTCCACCCAGCCCGCCTGCCCTGCTGCAGCTGCTCAAAGCCTCTGAGGTGCCCTTGGTGGGCAGGACTCACCGAGTCAGGGCCCTGGTGGCAGACGAGTTCCGCCTGCGCTCTCTGTTAGTGTCTTTGCTGAGGGGATCTGCGCTTGGTCCTAAGGGTCAGGGTCAGCGTTTTCACCTGGTCAGCTGTACTGAGTGTGATCTCGAGTGGTAAAAGGCTTCCATGGACAGATGCACATGTGGTGTCTGTGGATACAGTGCACCACCACCAGACGGCTCCAGCACCACGGTCCCTGGAGTCCTGTCTGTCCACCCTCAGGCCCCTGCCCAGCAGTCCGGCTGTTGTGGCATGCCCGAGACAGAACCCCTCCTCTGTGCCCGGCACTAGCGCAGGTGGTTGCTCCTTGCTGCTGAGCAGCATCCTGTCACCTGTCACCTGTGCTTGCTCTGAAGACAGTGAAGCATGTTTGGATGGCTTCCAGTTGGTGCCTTTCGTGCACAGACTACCCAGGTCTGTGGACAGTCGGCACCTGCTCTCTTGGTGACCTGGGACGTCGCATTTGGGTGTTGGGGAGATGAGCCAGGAGGGCTGGTCCTGCCAGGTTTCAGTCGGTGGCAAGGGCTGTGTGCAGCCACCAGCTTGCTCTGCCTGGCTGGGCCTCCAGTCTGCAGGTTCTTGCAGGGCCTTGGGGGCACTGGACCCCCTCTCAGCCCTGAAGCCTGCTCTCTGGGCAGGTTTATCCACCAGGTGAACCAGGCTGCCGTCACCATCCAGCGCTGGTACCGCCACCAGGTACAGCGCCGCAAAGCAGGAGTTACAGACCTGGAGTACTTGCAGTCGGCCACACAGGAGGTCAGTGTGGGCACAGCCACCCCGGGCTCCCCCTGGGCGGGTGCAGAAGCCCAAGGTCTGAACTGTGCATAGGCAGTTTCTGGGACCAGTAGAACGGAGACCTGGAACCACACAGGTCACATCTCTGTGGCCCACATTGTCCCCATGAGGACCATGGTCAGGCCTGAGTGTCCTGCTAGTCCCAGGAGGCCTCTGCATGGGCACCTGACCCCGAGGCACAGTGTTGACTCCCCTGCTGAGCACCCTCGGGTTGGGGGCTCGCCCTTCATGGGGCAGACGGGGGGTTCAGGGTCATGGGGGCTTGCCTCACCCTCCCCAGCTCTTCTGGCAGGGGCAGCAGCAGCAGCTGGGCAGTGGCAACCTCCTGGACCTGCACCGGCAGAAGGAGGCGGCCAGGAAGAAGGCCCGAGAAGAGAAGGCTCGCCAGGCCAGGCAGGCGGCCATTCAGGTGCCCTTCAGCCCCCGGAGGCCAGGAAGAGCCCAGCCCCAGCCCCAGCTCCAGCACTGCTGCCTGGGTCCTCAGGCCGTGGACATGGAGCCCCAGGGCAGCTGGGCTGTGGGAGGCAAGGGGCTGGCCTCGGGGCTGCTCAGAGATGCTTCCCCTGGCAGGAGCTGCGGCAGAAACGAGCCCAGCAGTCAGGCAAGGCTGAGCACGGGCTGCCCAAGGGGAGCCCAGAAACCAGAGCACCGGGGCAGCCTCGGCCCCCCCAGGAGCCGCCCCTGACACCAGGCAGTGACACCCGCCAGCCCCTCAAGGCCAACAACACTGGTGAGTGACCTCAAGGCCTAGGACAGGAAGGAGGTGCAGCCTTTGCTGTCATGCCCTGGCCCTCATACTGTGGCCAGGTGGGCAGCTTCTACCGCAGCCTGGGCCATGGTCACACCCACACCACCTCTGCTCCTGACCAGCTCACCTGTTTGGTTGGACTTGAGGCTCAGTCCTTGACAGCTGGTCCTGGACACAGGACCCACGGAGCATCGAGGCCTAGAGCCAGAGGTTACGCCAGCTCCCCAACCTCAGTCCCTGGAAGCCAGGGCCCCCCGATGCCTCTGCTGTGGGTCGTGCCTGCCTCCCCCTTACCTGGCTCCTTCCCAGGCTCTTCCAGGTTCAGGAACCTGCTGTGTTCTGTTGGGCAGGCACCACCGTCCACCCCACAGGCCCCAGGAACCCCTGCCTACCTGCCTCTGACTCATCCTCAGAGCACCAGCTGTCTCCAGAGGACAAGCCACAGGTCTGGGCACAGCCCACCCTTCCCTCCCTTCTGGACTTTAGTTTTGAGGGGCGTGTCCATGCCAGGAGTGGCCTGAGCCGACCTTTTCCCCGCCCCTCCTCAGCCGGGTTCCCCTGAAAGGCTTCCCAGGGCTCCTGTTCTGATGCAGAGTGGCAGGCTGGGGGGCCCTGGCTGGGTGGAGTCTCAGAACTGCTCTGGATCTCTGTAAGGTTTTCACACTGGGCCTGGGTAGGGCCTTGTGTCCCTGTCCACAGAAGACGAGCTTGAAGGTCAGAGGTGTCAGGGGACAGCGAGGCCACCAGGCTGCTCAGTGATGTAGCTGAATGGCCGAGCCTGTCTGTCTGTTCTCCTGGGGGAGGGTTGCCACTGGTGGAGATGCCTTCAACCTGTAGGGTGGGCTTGAGGAGCCACAGGACGTGGGCAGCAGAGGCCCCACCCAGCACCACTGGGGTCCGCGTTGGGCGCGAGTACTCTCTTGGGCACCAGAGGCCTTGGTGGCTGCGTCCCCCCTGCCTGTCTACTGTAAGGCATCCTGTCCCAGGAAATGGCCAGTGAGGACGTGGAGATGGTGGGCCCCACCAGGAGCAGGGTCAAGTCCAGGGAAACCCTGGATGAGCTGCTGGACACGCTGAGGCTGCTGGAGGAGGATCCCGAACCACTGTCCCATCCCAGGGTCTATCACAAGGACAGATATGCTTGGATGGATGAGGTGACTCAGCCACACGATCCCTCGCCCCAGCCCGTGCTGCCACCATCCTCACAGACCCAGAGGCCAGGGGAAGCAGGGTGCCCCAGCTGCGGGCTGCAGTTGAGACCCTAATCAGCCAGCTGGATCTCACTGACCCACTCTCCCCTCCTGTGCAGGGACCCTGAGGTGGGACACAGGAGAACCTCTGGGTGGGCAACACCCAGCTGCCTCCCGCCTCCCACTCTTACTGCCTCTGCTCCCCCAGCAAAGCACCCAGCCCCGGGGACCCCGAGTGCTCGGGCCACCCCAGCAGCACCCAATGCTGGCCCCACCCCACAGGACAGTGCCAGCTCCCTGACGGCTGACAACCTGGAGAGGTGGGGGAAACTCGGTGCACCCTGCAGCACCCCTGAGGAGGGGGCGCTGCTGTCTGAGGCGAAGCTGCAGGGCGTCAGGAGCTTCCTGGACGAGATGGAGAGGTCGGGCCAGGGCCAGCCCGCCATGCAGCAGGAGGTGGGCACCTGTCAGGCCCCTGCAGCAGCCCAGTCCACTCTGCTCTGGGGGTCGCACCTGCCTCCCCCTTACCTGAGGCCACCAGGCTGCTCAGCGATGTGGCTGAATGGCCCAGGCGGGGGACTGGCGGGACTGACTGTCCCATGCGGATTCCTCTCTGGCTGAGCCTCTCGAGCCTCCTCCCTACGCCTTGCCCAGGGAGCTGTCCTGGCACCCTGGGCCCTGGTGTCCCCTGCTGAATACCAGTGGCCAGGCTGAGGGGAGTGGTGGCAAACAGCAGGAAGGTCAGAAGTGACTGTGACCCCGGTACTGCCTTCTTCCCAAGGCACTCTGTGCCTCCCGCACAGCCACCAGTGCCCAGCCCTGGGTCTCTGGCTGTACTGGTGCCAGAGTGCTCTTTAGTGGCTGCGTAGAGACCGAGGTCACAGCCCTCATTCCCCTGTACCCAACAATAGAAGCCTTCTGGGGGAGCTCTCCCACCACCCCTCAGATGCCTGCACCTTGCTGCTCCTTCCCCTGAGGGTGGAGTGGAGGGGACATGGAGGTCCCCTGGAACATGGGCAGGCAGGGCACCTGGCACATCCCTGCCGCCTCCTGGTCATCCACCCAGTGAGCAGTGGGTGGTGGCCCACCTGCCTGACACTTGGCCACGTCTGCAGGGGCTGGCACCAGACGTGGGGCGGGGGCACCCAGAGCTGGCATCCGAGGGGCGCGTGTCTGTGATGCGGCTGAAGCTGGAGCTGGAGGAGCAGAAGCAGGCTGTGGTGCTGCTGCAGAGGGCGCTGGTGAGGCCCTTAGCATGTCACCCAGGGCTGCCAGCTGGGCCACAGGCCCCCATAGCACCTCGCTGAGAGCCCTGGGCACTGGCTTCTTCCCAAGGCACTCTGTGCCTTCCACACAGCCACCAGTGCCCAGCCCTGGGTCTCTGGCTGGACTGGTGCCAGAACCTCCTTCCTGCCCACACCCCCCACAGGCACAGCAACGTGACCTCACGGTCCGGCGGGTCAAAGAGACAGAAAAGGAGCTGAGGCGGCAGCTTCGGCAACAGAAAGAGCACTATGAGGCCACCATCCAGCGGCACCTGTCCTTCATTGACCAGGTGAGGCCCTCCCAGGGGACCAGGAAGATGGATGAGGCCAGAGGGTCAGAATCAGGCTTACAGAGCAAGGGGCTGGTCGCAGGTGGAGCTGGCCTGAGGTCCACATAGCCTGCTGTGTCCTGCCCAGTGTGGTGGGCTGGTGGGACAGCGGGCAGAGCATAACCAGGCGTCCCTTGGAGGAGCCAGGCAGTTCCAGAGGTAGCTGACTGCTGGCCCAACAGGGAAGTGTTCTGGACAAAGTTCAGAATTTTCTGTGCCATGCCTAGGCCATCAGATCCCTGGAGGGCCACCCTGGTCTGTTGGGGCTTCTGGGACAGCCAGAGTACCCCCAGTGAGAGCAGCAGAAGCTTCCGGGTTGCCCCTCAGCCACTATCCCTGGCCAGATCTGGAGAGACCTCTAGGCCTGGGGTTGGAAAGATGGTGGTCGCTACTGGGTGGTTGACAACAGTGTGCCCAAGTCGAGAGTCGGGCTCTCAGTGAGGCTGGTGCGGTTCCAGGAGGCTTCGTGGACACCCCTTGGCAGCAGCCTGCAGGCCCTCCTGCAGGCAAGGTGCCACCCTCATCCCAGGCTGGTGGGTGTGGTCCCCACTGGGGCTTCTCTGACATCCACCATGTCCTCCAGGTCGAGTACCCAGAGGGGCAGCCACCCCGTGTCACATGCATACACGGTCTTGTATGGACAGGGTGGCCCTGGGAGACAGGCCTCCTGCTGGGTGGGGACCTTAGTGCAGAGCCTTACCCCCGCCCCCCGCCTCACAGCTGATCGAAGACAAGAAGGTCCTGAACGAGAAGTGTGAGGCAGTGGTGGCCGAGCTGAAGCAGGGCGACCAGCGGTGTCGAGAGCGCATGGCCCAGATGCAGGAGCAGCACGAGCTGGTGAGCAGCCTGGGGGCCTGGCCGAGCTGCCCCACGGGCAGCGGACCCCAGAGCTGGGCAGGGTTGGAGGAGGGTCTCCATAGATGGGGACCCTGAGGATGTGGTCCAGGCAGGAGGGCGTTCCTCATACCAAGCTGCGTCTTCCCCGGCTGCTGTCACGTTTCCACCCAGATCCAGACCTGGTGCCGGCCTGGCCCTTCCCCTGGGAAGTGGCCCTGGACTCAGGAGGCCAAGCCCAGCCTGGGTGCCCAAGCAGCTCAGGCCCAGGACCGCTCCTGGGGTCTTCCTGCTTGGCTGCCAGGAGTGAGAGGCCGCCTCAGCGGGCTTCCCATCTGGATGCCAAGTCCCTGAGCCCACCCCAGACCAGAGCCTAGATCCTGAGTGGGGGTGGCACCAGCGTGGCCAGAGGCCCCTGGAGTCCATGGTGGCACCAGCGTTGAGGGCCGCCGGCCACAGGGGAGAGCAGGGCCTCTGCAGGTGGAAGGCTGCGGCCCTGCTCAGGACACAGGTGTGCAGAGGGGACAGATGTCATCTCATCTTCTTTCCACGTCCCACGTCCTTGTTTTTAGGAGATCAAGAAGCTCAAAGAACTCATGAGTGCAACAGAGAAAGTCCGCAGGGAGAAGTGGATCAACGAGAAAACCAAGAAGATCAAGGAGATCACTGTCAGAGGTGGGCCACGCCAGCACCGACTTGGGTGCTCTGGAAGGGAAGAGTGGCTGCAGTCCCCAACAGGAGGACTCACACCAGGCCTCCCAGCGCAGGCACAGTGTTGGGGCAGCCGCCCTGGGGTGGAAGGGGCAGGCCCACACCAGTGGGCCACCAGAGACTAGAGCTCGGGCAGCGCCCACCTCCCCTGGGGTGGGCTTGGAGAAGTCGGGTCAGTGGGCCACCAACAGGAGGCCACACTGTGGGAAGCAGCAGGGAGCGGGAGGCTGGGAGGCGGGCTCCAGGGTGCTGTCGGAGGGAGCCCAGGCCCTCAGGTGGCTCGTGGGGCTCTCCTGGCCTGGCTCTTGACCCAGAACCCTTGCTCCAGGGTCCTGGACACCCATGCTAAGAGACCTGATGGTTAGGGCAGGGGGGCACATGCCCAGGCTGGACAGGCCCTGTAGTCCCCTTCAGCTGCTACAGAGTGACTGCCCCAGGAGCAGGGACCAGGGGCAGCACTGCCCCTTCCCTGCAGCACTTCAGGCACAACTGCACTCTGAGGTTGGTGCCCTGGAGGGGTGGTGTGGGCGGGGACTCCCTGCAGCTGCTGTCCTGCCCCCAGGCCTGGAGCCCGAGATCCAGAAGCTCATCGCCAAACACAAGCAGGAGCTGAGGCGGCTCCGGGGCCTGCACGAGGCCGAGCTGCTGCAGCGGGACGAGCAGGCCGCCCAGCGCTACCTGCGCCAGGCCGAGGACCTGCGGGAGCACCTGGAGCGGGAGAAGGAGGCGCTGGGCCAGCAGGAGCGCGAGCGAGCCCAGCGGCGGTGGGCATTCGCACATCCTGGCTGCCCAGGCCAGGGGGCCCGGGTGGGGTGGGGCCATGCCCAGACCCTCATCCGAAGCAGGGCACTTCCTCTCTAAACCCTGAGGGTGTGTCCTGAAGGCCTGGATCTGAGGCTCTTGGGAGGGGGAGGGGCCCAGGGTCTTGGTGCAGCTGCCCAGGAGGGCACAGGAAACTGTGGCCCCAGAATAGCAGTCCTGTCCATCTCAGCACCGGCCAGTAGCTCCTTTATGCCTGCGGGTGCAGCCCCTGCACCAGCCAGCACGTCCCTCCCATGAAGCTAGGGTTGTGACTTAGGAGGTGTGCAGACCCCCACAGCTGGCCCAGAACTTTCAGCCCCAGACAGGTGACTCCAAGGCCCCTCTGGTGCCCAGAGCAGCCTCTTGCCCTCATCTCCTTGGCCCTGTGGGGGTGGGGGTGTCACTGGTCAGAGGTGTGACCAGGCTGGGTGGGCCCTCAGACCCTAGGGACCTGATGGCTGGGGGACATGCTGGCGATGGCCAGTATATGCAAGCAGCTCCTTTTGTATGGCTGGTCCTTCAAAACACAGCTGGCCAGACCCACAGCCCTGTCTCAGGTCCAGTGAGGACACAGGCCTACGGCAGCCTGCTCCCACCATGGACCCTGCCCCTGGCCCCCCCCACAGGAAGCAGAGCTGGCAGGAAGAGGCCCTCCTCGCCTGCGGGGCCAAGCAGGATGCGGTCGGTGAGGACAGACAGGAATAGGAGATAGTAGGTGGCCGAGCCATGAGGCCATTTCACAAGCCACCACAGGGGCCTCAGCTCAGAGTCATGGTGGACTTGTGGCCTGGCTTTGCTGACCTGGGCACTGGCTGACAGGCATCAAGTATCACTGGAAGGATGCTCTGAGGACTGATGTTTGTGGCCTGTGGCTGCCCCTGCCCTGCCGCACGAGTGTCCTGGGACCTGTCCTGGGACCACGCGGCCTGCCAGGTGAGCCAGCCTCGCCCTCCCGCAGGTTTGAGCAGCACCTGGAGCAGGAACAGCGTGCCCTGGAGCAGCAGCGGCGGCGGCTGTACAGCGAGGTGGCGGAGGAAAGGGAGCGCCTGAGCCAGCAGGCAGCCAGGTGCCGCCAGGGGCTGCTGACCCTCCTCACAGTGACCCCTCACCCACCCATAGACTGCTCACGTAGTGACCCTCAGTGCCCTTTGCCCACTGACCTCTGGCCTGGCTTGCAGGCAGCGGGCAGAGCTGGAGGAGCTGAGACAGCAGCTAGAGGACAGCAGCTCAGCGCTGACCAGAGCCCTGAGGACCGAGTTCGAGAAGGGTCAAGAGGAGCAGGAGCGTCGGCACCAGGTCCCCTCCCCCATGCCGAGCCTGGCATCCAGTAGGGCAGAGGCCTGGGCTAGGCTCTGGGCGGACAGGGCTGGCTGGTGGCTCTCATGCCCTGTTCCCCCTCCAGGTGGAGCTGAAGGCTCTGAAGGACCAGCTGGAGGTGGAGAGGCAGGCATGGACGGCCAGCTGTGCCAAGAAAGAGGTGGGAGGGCAGGGCAGCTCCAGGCCTCCAGGGCTCTTCCAGTGTCATACAGGGCTCCTGGGGCTCTCCTTCCTCGGCTTGCAGGCTGCTCTCTGCCATCCTGTGGCCACAGGAGAGCCAGGAGTTGGCAGCAAGAGGACAAGGCCTGGTCAGGGCATCTTGTCCTCCATGCCCAGCAGCTGCCAGCCCGTGCCCCTCGGTCAACTGCTTGCCCGCCTGTCGGGGCTGCCCTCCTTGGCCTCTGGTGTTTCCTTTTGGGAATTTCCAAATAGCTTCCAGGAACTGGCCCCATTTACCCTCTCACAGCCCCACTTAGCAATATGGCAAGTTCCTTCTTTGTCCCCAGCCTGTCTGGTGGCAGAGTGGTTTGCAGTCATCTTTGGCTATGGGTCTCCAAGGAGAGGACTCGCATGTTGGGCGCCTTATCCAAGGGCCTCCAGGACCTGGGGAGCTAGGGCAGGGCAAGCCCTCTCTGCCCGGTGAATGTGTCCGTGCCCCTGGGGTTCAAAGAAGGGAGCCCCCGGGAGCCTGCCCTGTGCCCCTCCACCTCCCTTGTCCTGCACCCTCCCAGTGGTTCCCAAGCCAGCTGCCTGGCCCCGCAGGAAGCGTGGCAGCTGAACCGGGAACGTGAGCTCAAGGAGGAAATCCGGAAAGACCGCGACCAGGAGATCGAGCTGGTTATCCACCGGCTGGAGGCTGACATGACCCTGGCCAAGGAGGAGAGTGAGAGGGCCATGGAGAGCCGGTGAGGCCTCCAGCGCGGGAGCCAGCCAGGGGCTGGTGCTGGGCTGCTCTGGCCGCTGGGGTGAGGGGAGGGCAGGAGCTTGTCCCGGCCACTCTGCCAGCTGCTCCCTGCCCACCCACCAGCATCAAGCGTGTGCGGGACCAGTATGAGGCTGAGCTCTCAGAGCTGGAGCAGTCCCAGCGGAAGCTTCAGGATCGGTGCTCGGAGCTGAGGGGGCGCCTTGGGGAGGCCGAGGGGCAGGAGGAGCGCCTGCAGGCCCTGTTGCGGCAGAGGGAGAAGGAGCTGGATGACCTGCGGGCAGTGAGTGACCCCCGCCCCTCCCAGGTCCAGAGCCCACCACTGTGGGAGCCCTGTTCACCACCTTCCTTGCCTCCAGGTCAACTCAGAGCTGTCCAGGGAGCGAGGCAGCCTGGTCGAGGTGGTCCGCCAGGAGTTTGCTGACCGGCTGGCGGCCTCTGAGGAGGAGAACCAGCGGGTCAAGGCCGAGCTGACTGAGCTGCAGGCCCGCCAGCAGCTGGAACTGGATGAGGTGCACCAGAGGTGGGTAGCCAGGTTGCAGGGGCTGGAGGCAGAGGGCAGGGCAGCATGCAGCACCCCCCAGCACCACGGCAGAGGGCATCACAGATGAGGAGGGTGAGCAAGGTGAAGGCTTCCGGGGTGCAGGCCGCCTGTGGGCAGGGGCTGGCACGTGGTCCAGGTCCGAGTCCGGGAAGCCTGGACCAGTACCCCAGTGGCACTGAGTCCTGGGGCATCTGGTGCCTGGCCTCACCAGGAGCACCTGAGCAGGTTGCCTCAAGCTGGGGCTCAGAGTGTGCTTCTCCAGGGGGCACCCCAGGGCCTCCTGAGGGCTGGAGGCCTGGGTGGGCAGCTGATGCACAGAGAGGGGAAGCTGTAGGGGCAACAGTGAGCCCCCAGGGACCTCATGGTCCTCCTGCCACCTGCCCACACTTGCCATGGCCCTGAGGGGTGGGTATGAGAAGTTCACGCCTGTCCTGGCACAGCCCCCCGGCCCGGGCTGCTCCAGGCACGCTCTCTGGGTTCCGACCCCCGTGAAGGCAGCTTCTCTGGGCCGAGGCCAGCCTGGGAGCTGTGGCCAGTGGGCTGGGCAGGCTGGTTGCCCCTACAGGCTGGCTGCCCCTGAAGGCTGGCCGAGGGGGGCTGTGCAGAATCCCACTGTGTGCCTCTGCAGGGTGAAGACAGCCCTCGCCAGGAAGGAGAAGGCCGTGAGCAGCCTCCGGAGACAGCATGAGGTGGGTCCCAGGGTCCCTGTGCTGGTCCTGCCTGAGGTTGGGTTAGCCCACGCCTGACTCTGGTGCCCGTCACAGGCTGCCATGAAGCGGGCTGATCATCTGGAGGAGCTGCTGGAGCAGCACAGGCGGCTGCCCCTGAGTGCCAAGTGATGCCACCTGCAGGCTGGAGGCAGGCCGGAGACAGGAGGGATGCGATAAGGAGTCCTGCTGCCGTGCCGGGCCCTGGGGCGCATGCTGGCTGAGGTGCGGCCTGCTGCCCTGCTCGTGAGCCCCGTGCTCAGCACACCGAGTCTGTGGCTGTGTTTTTCACAGTAAAAGAGGTGGTTTTTTTAGAGTCCTGTGTCCCCTGCCTGATGTTTCTCTCCTGGGCTGGGGGGACACCCCAGAGCTCAGGCCTGGCTCCAGCCCTCTCCTGCCTTCCCATCTCCCTCCTCTGGGCTGTTCAGACGGACCAGGAAATGGCAGGTGGCTAGCAGCCCTTCTGCTCTCAACGCCCCTGCCGCCCCCATCTGTTCTCTGCCTGGCCCTGTGGCCCTGAGACTCAGCTCCAGTGCCCAACTTGGAGAATGGCCCTCTGTCCCCGCCTGGCCCATAGGAGGCTCCATGCAGTCTGTGGGTGCCTGAAGCCCCTGGGCTGCTGTTGTGTTCCCCATGACTGGAAAGACTCCAGGGGAGCAGGTGGCCCTCCTAGGAGACCGCCCCCTACTGAGGTGTGACTGCCGGGAGCCCTCTGGAAACGGGGACTGGACAGGCACCCCGAGGAGGGCGGGCACCGCCAGACCCTCCCTCTGCAGCCTCTGCACTTGGCACTTTAGCTCAGAATCTGCTAGTGCCCTTCACCTTGTGGGTTGTTGGCACAGACAGGTGGAGGCTGCAGCCCTCGTGGACAGGAGAGTCCTGGAGCACTTGCAGGGAGATAAGGGTCTACTCAGCAGGCGTGTGGTCCTGGATCAGGCTTCCGTGTTGGGATGCTGCCCAGCAGCCCCAGGGGGCCATCACCCCGGGCCTCTCTCCTCGCCTGCAGGTGGTGTGCAGACCCCAGGAGGCTTCCTGTGCATGTGGTTCTGCTGCTGTGTCTGGGACGGCTCTGAGGGTCTCCCCCCATGAGGGCCGACCTCCTCCTCCTGCAGGTTGTGGACCAGAGGTCAGGGCAGGGGCAGCAGGATGTCACCCAGCAGGACGTAATCCTGTGGAGCTCCTGTGGGAAGGGAGGATCTGACCATGGGGGGTCCCTAAAGTGGTGGGTCAGGTCTGGTCCCTCGGTGAGGAGGAGAGCTCCCACAGCAGGAGGTCAGGTTTTAGAGGTTCTCTTTTTGGTGCTGGGATTGAACCAGGGCCTTCCTTGTGCATGTGAGGCAGGCACTCTACCAGCCGAGCTGTGTCCCCAACCCGAGGAGGTCAGGTTTTAGAGCCTCAAGTGGACTCTGCCTAGGGAGTCCCCCTGCCCACCTGGCTGCCCCCGTGGGTTTCATATTCCCCACAGAGCCTGCGTCTGAGCCACATTCCTTCTGACAGAGGCCACACCATCAGCAGCCATCTCTGTGCCCGACTTAGACCTTGCGGTGCAGACCCGAGCAGACACCGTGCCTTCCGGGGCCCACAGGCTAGCGGGGGTAATGGGCAGAAAGCAAGGGACTTACCATTTCAGAATTCCTGCCCTTTATTTTCTTCCCTCTCTTTTCTCTGACTTTAATTTTCTGTTCTTTTTTCTAAGTTCTTGGGGAGGATACTTAGATCATTGATTACCAGCCCTTTTTTTTTTTTTTTCAAATCAATGCATTTAAGACTATGAATTTCCCTCAGATTACAACTTGAGCTGTACCCACCAGGTTTGGTATGTTGTATTTTTGTTAACGTTAGGTTTGATTTTCTTATTTCTGTGGTGGTTTCTCTGAATCACAGGCTGTTTAGAACTGTGTTGTTTTTCTTTAACTTTTGTTTTTGATTTCTAACTCATCTTCCCAGAGGACCTGTCCCATGTTATTCCAGTCCTTTCACTTGGTTGAGATATGCTTTAAGGCCTGGCTGTTGGTCAACTTTGGCAGATGTTACATCTGTAATTTGAAGAAGAATGTGCATTCTGCATCAGGGGGCTGCAGAGAACTGGCTGCATCCAAGAGCCAGCCCTTCGTACTTCCCGAGCCTCCTTTGGCACTGGGTCTCTCGGTCCCTGGGGTTGAGTGCTAAGGTCTCTCACCATATTTGTGCATCAACCCTGTCTCATTCTGGTGTGTTCATTTTTCCCGTTGTGCATTTGGAGGCTGTACGTTCAGAACCATGGTGATTCCCTGAGATTGGCCCTTTATCATGAGTCCTTCCTCTTTGACCCTAGAAGTGCTTCTTGCCTTAAAGTCTCCTTCATCTGATAGCAAAGCTTTCTCTCCTTGGTACCTGCATGTGTCTCTCTTTTTAAATTTTTTTAAAAGTACTTTTATACCTTTGTTTTATTTATTTTTGTGTGGTGCTGAGGATTGAATCCGGTGCCTCCCAGGTGCCAGACAAGCGCTCTGCCCCAGCAGAGCGTGGTGTCTCCCTGCCCTCTTTTGACTTCCAGCCTTCCTGTGGCCTTATAGTTAAGGCCAGCCCCAGGCGATAAGCACCCGGGTCTGGCTGTGAGTTGCTGACCCACTTTTGCTCTGGTGGGCAGGTGGGGAGGAGGGGGCCAAGGGGCCAGGTCTGTGGGGCCAGTGGGTTCTCTCCGTCCTGGCTCCTCCTGGGGACCCGCTGGAGCTGCAATGTGGGCACCTCCTCCCTGGCAGATCCTGAACACCCAGGAGGCTGCTCAGCCCTTATGCAGTGTCACTGGCTGGACCGTGCCTGCCAGGGAACCTGTGCCCCTCACGCTCACCTCCTGGGCGCTCTCTGGGATCTCATACCCATGTCTCTGATGCTCTGTTTGCTCATAAAGGAAAACATGACACACATGTGAAGGTCACAGTGTATTGGAAGATGGGAGGTGCTGTGGGGAAGACTGAGTCAAGGGGAGCGTGAGATTCCGGGGGTGAGTGAAAGGCAGAACGGTGGGTAGGGACCTCTCTGGGTTGTGACATTTGAGGAAAACACTGAAGGAGAAGAGGGATTTTTCATGCATCTGAGGAGCATGCCAGGCTGGGGGAGCAGCCGTGGAAAGGCCCTGGGACAGGATGTTCCTGGTGGGGCACTGGACGAGGCCACCTGCTCCCATGAGTGCACTGAGGTAAGCCACGCTCCTGGTGCTCACTCTCCACACGGATGACAGGCCAGGAGCGGGCCAGGGACAGCATAGAAATGGTGCTCACACTGAAAGGGTGGGCCAGCGTGGGCAGGGCAAAGACCAAGATGGGCCCGTGTCCCACCAGAGAGCTTGGGAGAGCCGGAGTCGTGGAGGATTGAGCACAAGGAGTGAGAGGGAGAGCCAGCCCAACGTCGAGCCAGGCCAGGGGAGGCGGCCACCTGTGCGCTCTGGCCCTGGGGGCAGCCGAGGACACCTGCAGAGCACTCTGGGCCTCACTCGCCCTGGGCTGCAGGAATCCCCACACATGTCCACACATCTGCTGTGTGAGCTGGGGGTGTGGGGCCAGGTGGCCACAGGACAGACCCAGGGCCCACAGGAAGGGGCCCTTCAGGGTTCTGGGTCCAAGAAGCACCAGGCTAAGAGAGAGGGCAGACCCAGGCAGCCCAGGGCTGGGGGGGAACCTCCCTCCCAGTGCCCCCAGTGAGGTGAGACCAGGGGAGGGGAGGCCTGGACCCCTGCCCGCCCATCTGCTCACTCCCCACCAGCCCCCAGGCGCAGGGAGGCGTTCCCAGACACTCGGGCAGCGGCACTGCATTTGTTTAGAGCTCTGTTTCCTCCACTTTCTGGAACAGGCTGTGTCCACCCTTGGTCTCCTCCGTGAATGTCCACTAGGGCACATGCTCACCCCACACAGCCCTACAGGGACCTCTTGCTGGTCCAGGGCTGGTCATGGCATTACTTCTTCTTTGGAGTCTTCTCCTTCTTGATTAATTCAGAAAATTCTAGGGCAGGAAATCCATACCTAGTAAACACGTCTGCTTTCTGACAGCCTAGGCTGCTGGCCCCTGAAGGGCAGGCTGCTGGCCCTCTGATGGCCTCAGCAGTGGTGAGGCGTGCGCCTTTCTGAGGGCCCACAGTCTGGAGGATCTGACGTCCCAGCCTGCCTGAGCCCTGGTGTGAGCTGGAAGACCAGTGAGTGGACCCTCCCTGAGCTCAAATGACCTGGGTCTGCTGAGACCCTCAGAGATTCCTGCCTGACCCTTCTGAGCAGGTGCCCTGTGATCAACCTGCCTTTCTCAGTGGGGAAACTGAGGCTGGGGCCTGAGTCCTGCACAGCCCCTTGGCCAGCCATCCTGTTTTATGCCTGGGGCCTCCCCTGCACTGAGGGCTGTGATGTGGCACAGGTGGGTAGGGATGGGCGCACACCTGGACAGTGGTGTCTGGGGCGCTGGGCCGGTTGGCCCTTTCCTGGTGGCCACTTTGCCTGCCCTCTGCCCCAGTATCATGACAACGAGTGGCGGCCAGAAGTCTAGGGCAGCCAGAGCCACAGGCAGCCTGAGCCCTGCCGCTTCCCTGGTCACAGCCCCACCCATACTGTCTGCCCAGCCAACCTCCCCAAGCCCACCCAGCACCCAGCTCTGCTCAGTGAGACACCCACACACTCAGCAACCCCCAGACTGGTTCCCCACATTGAGTTGGGGTGCTGAGAGATCTGGGGTGGGGTGGCCACTCAATGCTATGCCTGGATAGTGCGTGTCCAGCACTGGCAAGGGCCATTACTGTGGGGCCAGGTGGTCACATGGGGTGGGGCACTGGAGGAGTCCCTGGGGCCCCGTCTGGCTGCCCCCACCTTCGTAGTCGATCCTTCCATCCCCATCGGTGTCGGCTGCCTGGATCATGGCCTCGGCCTCCTCATCCGTCAGGGGGGCAGTGGGCATGTTACTGGGGATGGTGGTCAGGATGTACCTGGGCCAAAGGGGGCTCAGGTCAGGGCCAGGAGTGCCTGACCTTTGCAGCTGCTCGACCCACTTCACAGGTGGGGAAACCAAGGCCCAGAGTCCCCCACTCTCTGGCTTGGGTCCAGCACTGACACTGTGGCCCTGCCAGTGGGGCTCCAGGGGGCATGTCAAGTCTGCTGGGTGCATGGGGGCACCGCTATGGCTGGCCAGGGACACCAACACCCTTCCCAGCCCCTGCCGTTACTTGATCTCGTTCCACTCAATGAAGCCGCTCTTGTCCTTGTCCAGGGTCTGGAAGGCCTTGCGGATGGCGCTCTCCAACTGTCCCGAGGCCTGGAACTTGCGCATGTACTCAAAGAACTTGAGGTAGTTGAAGGACCCTGGAGCCAACCGGGCTGGCATCAGAAGGGCCAGCTGTGCACAGGGCTGGGCAGGTCAGTGGACCCAGAGATGGGGTCATCCAGGTCCACTTCTTTTCTTCCCTGCCCACCAAGGTCATAGCCCTGAGCCCATCAGCCCCAGGGACACAAATCAGATGTCCCCTGCTAGACCTGGGCCCAGGGACGGGGCAGCCGTGTCCCATTCCCCCTTCCCAGGCTGGGGCCGGGCCCAGAGCTGGCTGTACCGTGGTGCCTCATGTCTGAGGGCAGAAGCTCTATGTCCTTGTCTGATAGGGATGTGCCCATGGCCAGGGCCATCTTCTTCATCTGGGAGGAGAAGTCTTCGTCCATCCTGTCCTGGGGTGGGTAGAGAACAGCCTCTTGGTGCGTCCCTGCCCAGGTGTGCACTGCCCGCCCACCTGGGCAGCAAACATCAGGACTTTGACATGAGGGGCAGCCCCAGGCTGGGCAGAGGGGCAGCTGGTGGAGGGGTTTCCAGTCCTCAGTTTCCCCACGGAGAAAGGCACCTGCTCTCGGGGGCAGTCCCTGAGCCTGGGTGGCCCAGGAGGTGCAGGCATCAGTGTCCGCTCTTCACGGGGCAGCTGGGCAGCCTGTGCCCTCATGGCAGAGCCTCGTGACCTGTGGGCTCTCAGGTTCTTTCCCTGGGGGGTGTTGGGTTCCGGGATATGAGTGGGAACAGCTGTTTCAGAGTCCAGGGCTGCGGACTAGCAGGTGTCCAAGGCCCCTGAGCCCTCCAGAGAGTCCCAGGGTGATGGGGACATCTAGAATACCTGGCCCCACCAGGAGGGGCAGTGGGCACTCATGGCCCTGCCAGGGGCTGGGCAGTGGCTAGAGGCCTCTCTCCTCTCCTCCTGAGAGGTCAAAGGTTGCAGCCCCACCCTGGGGCCTGGACGTGGGGAGCACTGGATGCAGCCCCGAGACTGGATCCTGCTTCCTGCCCGGGGTGGCCCCCCTGGGGCAGCCCCTATCTTCTAGCAGGAGGGAAGGGTGGTGGGGCCTGGGCTTTTGCACGTCTGATGGGCTTAGAGCTGCATCCCCCATCGTCACCTCAGTGGCTAACTCCTGCAGCAGAGCAGAGGCCCTACCACCCCGGGACCCGACCTGGTCCCTGACTCCCCTCCCCGGGCATCTCAGTGTCCGTTCTGGAACAGGAGAAAACCGTCTGCCCACTTGGGGTCCTGCTGGGGGACCTGCCACCTGCTTCCATCAGGAAGGGGCCCAGCCAAATTCTAGGCCCGGCCCGGCCCAGCCAGAAGGTGACCTCCTGTCTGTGCTCCTCACCTGCCCCCTTCCCACCTGGCTGCTGTCAGGGTCCCCACCAGCATGCTGGGGCCGGGACGGGGGCCAGGGCCGGGGCCGGGGAGGCAGGGTCTTGGGCTCCTGTTTATTTATAGCCCCTGTGTCCAGACCTGGGAGGGGGTCTGACCAGTCCAGCCTGATGGGGCTGCAAGGCCCAGGCGAACAGTCTCCGCACTCCTCTCAGCGCCTAGAGAAGTCCTTCCTCTTTCCTCCCTGCTCAGGCCTCCTTTCCCCTCCGATCTCCCGGCCTCCACTACCACAGCTGACTGAGCTCCGAGGCCTGCCAGTGGCCGTGTCCCCAGCACTGCCATCAGCTGGACACCTTTGTGCCCAACCACTCCACACCACTCACATGGCCTTCCCTGGGAGCGGGGGCTGCCCCAGCACCCAACCTCTGCCAAGGACTTCCAGGTTCAGACGCTGCAGTGGAGGACTCACTGGTGACCAGCAGATAATGGGCACAGGGGATCCACGGAGGGGCTAGGTGAGGGGCCAGAGCCAGCTCAGGGCTCCTGGGTCAGGAGGCCCTGGAGCCACTGCCCTGTGCACCCCAGGGCCCAAGGGTGGTGGCCGTCAGCCCCTGTGCAGTCCTGGCTCACGGCCACCCCCCGTGGGCACACGTGCGGACCCGGGCCGCCCCCCCCACCCCCTGTGGACACACGTGCGGACCCAGGCCACCCCCCCACCCCCTGTGGGCACACGTGCAGACCCGGGCTGCCCCCCATGGGCGCGTGTGCGGACCCAGGCCCACTTGGCTGCCTTTGGAGCAGAACTCCCTTGGGGCCAGTGGGGGCTGCTGGCAGAAGAGCTGCCCCTCTCCTTCCTCCTGGACTTTGCTAAGTTCCTTGCAGATCCCAGGGCACCTCTTTGTCCTGTGTATAAAGACCAGGCCCCAAGCTCCTGCTGTCCAGCTTGGGCAACTCTAGTCGGGCCTAGCGCCCCGAGCTTCCCAGCCCGGACAGCTTACCGCCTGGCTTTCCTCGGGGCTCTTGGGAGGCAGTCAGGCCGTGTGTTAGAGGACCAGGGGACGTCAGGCTTTATACCTGGGAGCGCCCGGCTTGTTTACATCTTGCGACTGCAGCTGTCCTCCACCCGTCCCGGGCACTCCAGCCTGGCACTGGCTGCCCCAAGGGGCTTGCTGGCACTTGGCTAGCCTGTCCAGACTGGGCAGTACCTGGCCTTAATGGGCACAGCGTGGGGATGGGGAGGGGCAGGCAGATGGTGCAGGGCCAAGGGCCTTGCCCAAGGTCACAGGATGGAGCCGAGACCTGGAGCCTCCACCACACTTGGAGACCCAGGTCCTGATGGCCCTGGACACTGGAGCGCTGGGCCGTGAAGCTCGAAAGATGAGGCTGTGGCTGTGGCCTGGCAGCCGTGGGCCGGTGGGACCCTGGAGAGGTGGTGCTGTGGCACGTTGGGGACTTGAGCCAGGGCGAAGGCTCAAAGTTCAGCAGAGCCTGAGGCCAACGGGCAGCTGGGGAGCCTCCAGATGTCACAGGACAGACCTCCTCCCAGGTCACAGTGTGTCCCCCTGCTGGGGCAAGGAGGGCAAGGGGCTGTCCCTGCCTGGTTCTGAGCACCAGGCACATCGTCACCTTCTGCCCAGGGCAGGTAGCTGCAGTCAGCTTGACCCTGTGAGGTGTCCACGCTGGGGGCAACAGGCTGTGCGAGGGCAGGAAGGAGCCGTCAGAAGGGGCATGCCTGGGCACAGCACCTGGTCCTGTTGGTGGTGTGTCACCCTATGAAGGTGACGCAGTGCCATCTGCCCTCGGGCACCCTGCTGGCCAGTTTGAGAGGGTCTCAGGGAACCCTCACAGCAGCCCCCCGGAGGCTCTGTCCCCAGAAAGTGGGAAAACGGCCCCCAGTTCTGTTGGCTCCAGGCTCAGGTGCCAGGGAGCACCTGGAGCCCCAGGGCAGACACTAGGCCCAGGACAGCGAGGGGACACCAGTGTGTCCGACAGCTCTCTTTCCTGCAGGGCTGAGCCAGCTCTGTCCACAGCAGCTAGGACGGGGGAGATCCTAGCACCTCGGGGTCCAGCCAGTGTCCTTGCTTTACTGGGACCACGGTGGGAGGGTTACTGCAGCAGGTCTGCAACGTGGAGAGCACACAGGGCAGGCCTGGCGGGAAGGGGCCACCAGAAGCCCTCCCGTGGGCCTCTGGCTGCCGAGCTTCCTGCTTCACGGTGGTGGAAGGCGAGCGGGCGGCCTAGAGCTCTCCAGCATGACTATCTTCAAGGGCACCGCTGAGCAGCTGTGAGCACGTCACGGCGTGGCCACCACCACTGTCCCCTCCAGAACCCTTCATTCCAGACTGAAGCCCTGCCCCCCGGCACACTGACCCTCCTCCCTGCGCCCAGCTGCTGGCCACCGCATCCACTGTCGGCATGGACGGGGGTCTGGGCACCTCCCGTAGGAGGCCTCGCACGGTCCGTGTCCCTCTGTGACTGGCTCATTTCACTCACCGCGAGACCTTCGAGTTCTCCCGTGTGGCACGGGTCAGATCCTTTTTTTCTTCCTGGACATGATACAGGATTCATCAGTGGATGTGATCAAGGGCACAGGGGAGTCCTCAGGAGTGCAGGGTCCCGTGTGTCTGGGGAACCCTGACTGGGGCGCACTTGACCCTGTAGCCTTGGGGGATGAGCCACCACTCGGTCACCATGTCTTCACATTTGTCTGCACTAAACTTGGTCAAGTCCCCCTCCTTTAAGATGTGGACCTCTGGCCGCCGGGAGTTGAACGTGGCCCTGAGTGGCCCTCAGCCATGTGCTTCTTATCCTGCAACGTGACATGGGTGGGCAGGATGACTTGGCCACTGGGCCCGGGGCTGGAAGGCATCCACACCCCCGGCTGGAGCCCTCAGCCCTGTGAGGGTGGCGTCTTGCTGATGTGGGGACATGGGCAGCGTGGAGTGGCCCTGGGTGGTCTCTGCGGCAGCTTCTTACCAGGTGCTTGTGGCACAGACAGGGAGCCTCCAGGGCCAGGTGGGGAGATGCCCTGGTCACCAGACGCTGTGGGGCTGCAGAGGGGAGCTCACCCTCCTCTGCCGATGGACCGGGGCGTGTCCCCTCCTGCAGGCTCTGTCAATGTGGGCAGGAGGCATGCCCCCTCGTCCCCGCCCTCGGTTCTTCTGGGGATCACCCAGAATCAGAGCTGCTGGGCCTCACGGAGGGGCCCCAGGCCCTGCTCGGCAGCTGGGCGTGGGGTCCAGCCTCTCCACACCGCGGTTTCCCGATGGCAGCCAGCCTGTGGGTGTGAGGGGGACCACTGCGGTTTTAGTTGGCGTGTTCCTTGTGACCAGTGGTGCCGAGCGTCTTTGCATGTGCTCTCTGGCCATGCATGCTCTTGTTTGAGAAGCGTCCATCTCAGTTCTACCCATTTTTGAGTCATGCTGTTTGACTTTGTTGAGCTTTAGGAATCCTCTCTGTGCATTCTGCATACTAATTCCCTATCAGACAACGATTGGCAACATTCTTTTCCATCTTTTTTTTTTTTTTTTGGTACTGGGGATTGAACCCAGCAGCACTCTACCACTGAGCACATTCCCAGCCCTTTTTATTTATTTTGAGACACGGACTCACTAAGTTGCTTAGGTCCTCGATAAATTGCTGAGCCTGGTCCTGAGCCTGTGACCCTCCTACCTCAGACTCCTGAGCTACTGCACCTGGCTTTTCCATTCCTTGGACTGACTTTTTTCTCTGTTGATTGTTTCTTTTCTGCACATTAAAAAAAAAATCATGAACTCAAATTTGTGTTTTCTTTTGTTGACTGTTGTGGGTGTCAGAGCCAAGAAGTCCGAGCCAAACCCAATGCCATGGAACCTTGCTCCTCTCTCCTTTAATAGTTTGTGGCTTTACCCCTGGTGTTCAGGTCTTGGACCTGTTGAGCCAGGGTTTGCATGTGATATGAGGAAGGTCTGACTTCATCCCGTCGCATTTGGATGCCTGGTTTTCCCAGCACCATTTGTCTTTTGTCTTTTCCCCAGTGAATCGATCATCTTAACACCCTTGTCAAAGACCATTTGACATGGGGCTGGGGCTTGGCTCAGTGGTAGAGCCTAGCATGCATGAGGCACTGGGTTCAATCCTCAGCACCACATAAAAATAAAATAAAGACATTGTATCCACCTAAAACTAAAAAGATGAATTTTTGAAAAAAAAAAAAAAAAAGGGCTAGGGATATGGCTCAAGCGGTAGCGTGCTTGCCTGGCATGTGTGCGGCCCGGGTTCGATCCTCAGCACCACATACAAAGATGTTGTGTCCGCCGAAAACTAAAAAATAAATAGTAAAAAATTAAAAACAAACAAACAAACAAACATTTGACAGCTGGGCCCAGTGGCCCACGCCTGTGATCCCAGCAACTTGGGAGGCTGAGACAGGAGGATCGAGTTCAAAGCCAGCCTCGGCAAAAGTGAAGCACTAAGCAACTTGGTGAGACCCTGTCTCTAAATAAAATACAAGATAAGGCTGAGGATGTGGCTCAGTGACCAAGTACTCCTGAGTTCAATCCCCAGGACCACCCCCCACGAAAAAGAACCACCATGGGTATTTATTTGTGTGTTGACTTTATTTCCTGCTACTTTGCTGAATTCATTTGTTAGCTCTAATAGTTTGTGGAATCTTTCAGGTTTTCAAAACATAAAAGTATATTATCTGTGAGCAGAGATAGTCTTGACTTCTTCTTTTCCAACTCGAAGACTTTTTCTTTTCTTGCCTAATTGCTTTGGCTAGAACTTCTAGTACTGTTGATTATAAATGGCAAGAGCAGGCACCCTGGCCTTGATCCCGATGGTAGAAGCAGCATTGAGTCTGCCCTCCGTCAGAGCGTGGTGCTTGCTGGGGTTCTGCACAGACGGTTTGTGCTGTGTTAAGGTAGTCTCCTTCTACTCTGTTGAGTGTTTTGCTATGAAAGGGTGTTGAATTTCATCCAATATTTTTTCTGCCTCAGTTGGTGCGTCACTTGTCCTTCATCCTGTCAAAGCTCTGTGTGGCATTGATTCACTCCCTCCTTGCATTCAGGGAGTGAATCCCACCTGGCCGTGGTGGATGACCTTTATAACCTGCTACTAAGTCCAGGGGGCCGGGGTTTTGTCCAGGACCTTTGCATTCATGTCCAGGAGAGATATTGGCCTGTAGTTGTCTTTTCTGTGGCCTCTGCTGACTTTGATATCAGGATAATGCTGGCTCACAGGAGGAGTCAGGAAGCATCCCCTCCTCTTTTCTTTTCTGGAAGAGTTTGGTTGATGTTAAGCTCTTTAAATATCCGGTAGAATTCAGCCGTGAGCACACAGGGTCCGGCGCTTTTCTTTATGGGTGTTCTGATCACTGGTTCAGTCTCCTTGTTGGTCATAGGTCTGTGCCAATTTTCTCTTTCTCCGTGATTCAGACTTGGTAGTTTGGTATTCCGGGTATTTGTCTGATCCTCAGTGCTTTCCTGGGCACTGCCTGGTGACCCCGGAGGAAGCAGCTGCCCTGGCTTTCCACTGTCAACTAGGGCAGACGACTAGCTGCCCCTGGGCCCAAGGTCCACCCTGACTGCTCATGGAAGCTGTGTGTGGTGCCAGGAGCTTGGCCTTCTGGGCATGGCATGGTCTCCCGGTGGGGACAGGCTGGCCAGGGTGTCAGAAGAGCCCACAGAAGAGCCTGGACATCTCCGCCTCCTCCGGTGATGGGCAAGGCGGAGCTGTGGTCCTTGTGGAGGTCTACAGTGGGTGGAGGAGAAGGCCCGTCTGGCCCAGGGGGCTCCTGTGAGCACCTCTGCTCCAGGCAGGGCCTTCGCAGAGCTGTCACCAGGAGGACCTTGGGGAGTGGAGCAGGGACACTTCTGAAAGCTCCTGGCCTGGCCAGCCTGGAGGGAGACACTTCACCATCCGTTTCTTTTCCAGGCCGAAGACTTTTAGCCTTTTATTTTAGAAACAGTATTGTACCCCAAAATGACAGTAACAAAGGGAAACCGTTTCCCAGCCCCTGTCCCCAGCTCCCCTGGGCGCAGGTCATGGGCTCTGAGGGCGGCACCAGGACCAGGCACCCTCCAGACCCACTGGTCCCCGTGTCTCTCTGCCGGCCACTGCGTTCCCTGTGACAGGAGGTGAAATGGCTCCTCACTGTGACTGAGGATGTCCAGCAGCTCCCCTGAATGTCCATCTGCTGGGCTTCGGGAAGGTTCCAGAGCTTCTGTCTTTAGAGATGGTGGTTCTCACCTCTGAACCAGAACACGTCCTCCACCTGGCTACGTCCACAAGAGTGGACGACACGGGACACCGTGGACGAGCCCCTGGTCCCGCCAAGTTCTTCTCCAGGAGAGTTTGCCACAGCCTGGGTGTCCCCGGCACCTGGGTGTGGCACCCACAGCGACATGTGGACAGGCCAACCATGGAGCCTGTTGAGCCACACGAAGGGCTGAGGTTCTGACTGTCCACTGGACGAGGACTAACCCCATGTGTGGCTGTCACTGCAGGAGCACAGGGACATGCGCCGAGTGGAGAGAGCACTTTTAATAAGGCCAGGAGCGGGCTGGGGGGAGCCCGGCATGAGCAGCCAGGCCGCTCGGCTCACAGGGTGGGGGAGAGGCCGCCGGCCGCTGGCCAAAGCTCCTGGAGCCAGCACCTGCCCCGAGCTGACAGATGGCCTGTCCCCCGCGGCCCCTCAGGTTTCACTGCAGGTCAGAGCAGCTCCTCCTGCCCCGGCCTGGCCCCCCTCTGGGTGGAGCTGGCCTGCAGGGGCCACAGGCACCACCTCCCAGTGCAGGGTGACCCTGTCCCACGACCATGGACACTGCCCCCTGCAGAGGCCCCTCAGGGGCTGGCACTGCCCAGCCTCCTGTCTGAAGCCACTGCAGGCAGAGTGGTGCTGGGCCTGCCGCTTCAGCCTGCACACCCCTCCCAGCGAAGCCCAAAGCCGTTCCCCGGCCTGTCTGGCTGAGTGTTGGAGAAGGAAGAGGAATTGGCTCCTCTGTTGCCGGGGCCATTTGAGTATAAGGCCAGAGGACTCAAGCTGCAGCCTCCTCCTAGATCATGGGGTGGCCTCTGTGGTGGGTGGGCGGCCCTTGGCCACAGCTGGGCCTCCTGTGGAGGCTGGGCCCCCCCTGCCCACTGGTGTCTCTTTGTCAAATGCTGGAAGCCCAGGCGGAGCACAGCCACAGGGTGGGGTTCAGGGGTTACTCCAAAGCTGAGGGGTGTCCTAGAAGACTCTGTGTAGGGGCAGAACTGCCCTGTAGCCGTTCCCCTCCCCAGCACCCCCCAGTGGGTACAGCTGTGGCTGCAGCCTGCAGGTGAGCTGGGTCCCGGGTGGCCTCCTCTTGTCCCTGTGTTGTGATCAGGAGCGCAGCCCTGGCTTGGGGGGCTGGGGTTGGCGGCCCCAGCCCCCAGAGATGCTGCTCAGACCTGGCAGGTAGAGCTGGGGATGTGACTCAGGGGCAGGGGCCCCCGTGGCCCACTGTGGTGGCAGCCCATGGGTTTCTGAGCGGAATCCAGGCTGCCCGGTTCATGGGCGGGAGTGTGAAGGTGGCCTGTCAGGATTAAAATGCTTATGGGATGAATTTAGGAAGGGGATGACCTGTCCCCGTGCTCCCCACTCTGCACTCCCTGCCCAGGCCCCTCCCTGCTGTAGTGAGTTCAGTCGTCGCCCCTGGTCATGGTGGAGTGGCCTCACCTGGACCCAGGGTCTCTGCAGGTGTGAGGAAGGGTCCCCTGGGCTGGGGTGGCTCAGTGGTGGAGCCTGCCTGCAGAGCACCCAAAGGTTCTGGGTTCCGCCCCAGCACTGGAAAAAAAAAAAGCTAAAGACTTGTCCAGTGAGGGCAGGTCTGTCCAGTGATGGGCGGCTCTGGGGGATCTCCCCAAGACCACCGAGGAGGGGTAGGGTAGGGCTGGGATCGAGCAAAGCCCTGCCCTGGAGCCGTGGGTGGGAACTCCATTTCAGACCGAGAGTCCTCGGTGGCTCCAACCTGCCGTGAGGACACTCCCGGGGCCTCCCCACCCTCTGGCTCCTCTTGTCTGCCTCCCTCTGCCCAGAGCCCCTCACTAGCGCCCCTCCCTGCGCCCCTGGGTCCCAGTTTGTGGAAGGTGACCCTGCTGGAGTTCTCCAGGCAGGAGGAGCGTGAGGCTGGGAAGGCCAGGGAGGGGACAAAGACCACTGTGTGCTCCGGCTGCCCCCCCACCCCGTGTCTGGCACGGCTGGATCCAGCACGTGGGATGGGACCCTGGGCAGGGGTGGCCAGGCTCCAGGGGCCCGGCAGTCTTTGTGACCCAGGCTTTCCTCACAGCGGTGTCATTTTACTCATTGTGAACTTTTCCACACTGACTTTCTGTGTGCGTGATGCTGGGAACTGGAGCCAGGGCCTGTGCGTAGCAGGCAAGCACTCTACACTGAGCCACACCCTTTTATTTCCCCTGAGACAGGGCCTCACTAGGTCGCCCAGGCTGGCCTCGAATTGTCCATCCTCATGCCTCTGCCTCCCAAGTTGCTGGGATTACAGGTGAGTGCCACCAGCCACCCTGCCCGGCTCTATTAATTCTGACTCTTTAGAATATTGCATTAAAATATTGGTTACCTTAACTATTAAGTTTATTTTTTAAAATATTTTTTAGTAGATGGACACAATATCTTTTTATTTATTTATTTTTATGTGATGCTGAGAATCAAACCCCGTGCCTCACACCTGAGGCAGGTGCTCCACCACTGAGCCACAGCCCCAGTGCCGACTAAGTTTACTTTCATCAGCTTTATTGAGATGTGACTCTCACATCATGAAACTATCAACTTGAAGTCTACAATTTGGTGTCACTTTTTTTGTTTTTGTTTTGAGACAGGGTCTTGCTCTGTTGCCAGGCTGCTCTCCTGGGATCAGGGATCCTCTGTCTCTGCTTCCTGGGTGCTGGAGCCACGGTGCACCCCAGGACCAGCTCAGCAGCGCAGTGCGTTTCAGCATATTCACGAGACCTAGGACATTTCTCATCACCCTCAAAGAAGCCAGCAATCACTTACCGTCTCCCCCTCCCCAGGGTTCTGGCACGTCAGGCTACTTCCTGTCCCTGTGGACTTGCCCCATCTGGACACTTCATATAAACAGAATTGTACCCTCCCAAGACTGGCCTCTGTCCCTGAGCACCATGCATTGTGGCTCATCCCTGGTACAGCACCTGCCACAGCCTGGATCTTTTTGGGGAGCAATACCGTTGCACCGTGTGGACATGCCCTGCTGTTCACCACTCACCTGAGAAGGACGCAATCCCCCAGCTTCCTGGTGTCCCCTAAGCTCTACTCCTGAGTGCTCCCTTGCCCCAGCCTCCTCCAGGTCTAGCCCTTGCCACCCTCTGACCCCTGGAGGCTCCTCCTCTGCATCTCCCCTCCCCCCAGGAACTCCTTCCAAAGCCTGCTGGCATCTGCCTCTTGGACGGCAACACCCCCTCACCAGGCTAGGCCCCTGGAGTCAGCTCCTTTGGCCACCCTCCACCCCTGGCATCTACAGGACTTAACAGTACCCTCTAGTGTCAGCAGCTGGCACCTCTGTGACCCCCACACTGTAGGCTGAGGCCCACTGGGAGTCCTGGTCACTCAGGTGGTCATTTTCCACTGTTAGGCAGGGCTCCTGCAGAGGCACTGAAGGGTCTGGGGTACCATGCTCTCCTCCAGGCCAAGAGATAGGGCAGGGCTACATCCCCGGGGTCCTCTCACCTAGGGGTGCTAGCCGACTCTGCCCTGGAATGGGCAGAAGCCTGTACTTGGACCAGTGGCCTGTGACCACCCCCAGAATGGCAGGCCCATCTCTGCTCATGCCATTCCTGGGGACTCAGGTGCACCTGAAACTCAAAGGCTTCCGACCCTGTCTGGCCCCCTGTGTACACGTCTGCACACGGGCTCACAGGCAAATCCTGAACCACTGTTCTTTCCAGGTGAGCCATCTTAGACCTGGTCAGGGGGCAGGCCACATGGGCACTGAGAGTCTGGACAGAGACTCCCTCTCAGCCTAAAACTAGCACCCACTGGGGGTATTGGACTTTTCCCCTGCCCAGGTCCAGGTGTCGGGGGTACCTGCCAGGCTGGGCAGAGGCTGGCCCTCCATATAGGGGCTGAGCAGTGTTGCTGCAGGGTATCTAACCTCTGTCCCTTATACTGGTGCACTCCTGGACAACAGCCCTCAGGGGGCCACTGCAGCACCCCGTCCCCAGGGCTGTGAACTATCTCTGCAGTCCAGTGTCCTCTGGTTCTCCTGAGTCCCCAGAAGGCACAGACTGGACAAGGTGAACAGATAGATGCCTTTTGAGTTGCTGGGGGCTGCTTCACCCCTGTGGCTCCTTGGTCCACAGCAGACTGGGGCAAAGCCCAGAGAGCATCCACCACTTATTCTGGGACAGAAAGGAGGTCTGGACAGCCCAGCGTCCTGGGCAGGCTTGGGGTGTACCTGCCACTGCAGGAGACCCCTGAGATCTGAGGAGACAGAGAAGGGTCCCTTGCTTGGCACATGAGAAGTGGACTTTCTGCACAAAGATCCACCCTAGGAAAAAAATGGGTGAGTCCTGGAGCCCTCTCCCAGCCCTGCTGACCCCTCTGTCAAACCCTGTCCTAAGTCTTCCCCCAGCCCGGGCTGCTGCAGTCCCCTGTCCTCCAACAGGCCATCCAGGGGCTTTGCAACTGGCCCAAGCATCAAGGAGCAGGAGGTACAGGAGACCCAACTCTACTAGTCTCTACTACTAGTTAGGCTACAGCCGGCTCTGCCCAGGCCGGGCTGCCCCCGCAGCGCCACCGCAGCGGGGCAAAATGGCTGCGGGCGGGGGAGGGGCGGGAGGAGGCAGCCCCTCGCTGTCGCCCGCCGGAGCGCTGTTCACTGCGGCGGGGGCGGCCAGTTCCTTCTCCACGGCTGTCGCAGCGTGGCACAGCCGCAGGCGGTCGTGCAAAAATAGCCCCCCACCCCGCCAGCGCAGGCGCCGCCCAAAGGGCACGCGGGGGACCCCGGTCGCCTCCGAAGCCTGCCTTGACCCCCGTGCCGCCCGGACCCTGCGTCGGCGATGCCAGCCCCCGACGCCTCCACCCCTA